TTGAATCGCGACACAGTCGTTTTCTCGCTACTTCTGTCATACCATGTTAATAAGCCTTTAATATCTTTACTAGCACTCTCATCGTTTTATCATTACTTTATTTCATCGTTCGCAAATTCTTGAAATACGTTCTCCGATATCAGGACATGGTTCTGGAACTGGATATAATGTATACCCGCGTCCAAGAGAAACACATCCTGACATTGGAGAACGTATTACAGAATATGCGAACAACGAAATAAAGTAATGATAAAACGGTGAGACTGCTATCATAGTCATTAAAGACCCATTGATATAGTATGACAGAAGTAGCGAGTCAGTTTTCTATCAAACGATAATGGAAGTACGATCATGCGTCAGGCAGGAGGAGGCCCGCGGGATGCTAGGACGGGGGGGGGCACCAGCCATATTGATACCTCTGATTTTTCATCTATAAGCTTTTTTTCTCTCATAGAGTCCGACCTCCCTCCTGTCTACCATCTAGTAAAATACATATTTTATGAAATGGTATACAGGAGGGAGGTCGAACTCTATGAGAGAGAAAAAGCGTGTGGATGGAACATCAGAGGTATCAATTTGGCAGAGGCGCAGGACACACGTATCGACAAAATACATTTTCACACTGCGCCCCTTTATTTCATACATATTTTGTAAAAACTATATTTTTTCTGGATACTATAACGGTTAATATTTCCTGTAATTCTCATATTTTTTATGTAATCATTATATGTTTTATAATACACAAATATACATATATATACTTGTACATTTTTCTAAAACCCTATATATAATATATCGCAATGGGTGAAAGCGACAAGAGTGCGAGCGCAACGGGGTGGGAGCGCGAGAGAGACCGCGTGCGTGGGAGTGAGAACGCGTGGAAGCGCGAGCGCGAGGGAGACCGCGTAAGCATGGCAGCGGCGCGGTAACGTGCGAGGGAGCGAAAACGCGTGGGAGGGAGAGCGCGCTATGGGCACGCTATGGGTGAGATCGCGAGGGAGACCGCGTAAGCGAGAACGCGTGGGAGGGAGAACGCGCTATAGATGGAACGCTATGCGTGCGCGTAAGCGAGAGCGCTACGCGTGGAAGAAAGAACGCGCTATGCGTGAGATCGCTATGCGTGCGCGTAAGCGAGAGCGCGCTATGGACGCGCTACGCGTGGAAGGGAGAGCGCGCTACGCGTGTGCCCGAAAACGCGGCCCGCGAACGCGGCCCGCGACTGCGCGGGGGGTGCG